ACGACAAGATGAGTCACATGTATATAGTTAACATCAAAATGAGTTATTTGATATTGAAGAGTTGTAATTTCTTTGTATTTGCAATTTCAGTTCATGACTGTGGTGGCGAAGACATTCGTTGGGGATAAAAAAGAACAGAATAGCAAGTCAACCGCCATATATTTTCTGTAGATTTCATGCAAAAACTAGTGGCGAATCCTTTGAGGTGGAAGTGGGAAGAGCATGAAAGAAAAATATTACCTAAATATATTGGATACAACATCGGGGATTGTGATTTCATTTCAGTCCTACGCTATTTGAAGATCACTGGTTTTGTTATGTTTTGGAGACAAAGACCATGACCTTCCACGCCCTTGACTCATTGGTTGATAACATCACATTTATGAGATTATAAGTAGAGGAAGAAGGAGCAAAGAAGGGGGTGAGCAACAACATGATACAAAGAAGAAGAAAAAGAGGAAAAATAAAAGGCACTTCAATCCTAAACAACTTATGGCAACGTAATTGTGTGCAGTTATTTACTACTGTTATACTTGTCAATGGCTACTCTTATAATTGTCACTAGCAGCCTGTATAGTTGTCACTAGATGCTAAATTAGTTGTCACTAGATGCTTGCATAGTTGTAACTAGATGCTATGTTAATTGTCACTAGATACTTTGTCCCTTATCAATGGATGTTGTGTTAGTTGTTACTAGATGCTCTGTCCCTTGTCACTGGATGTTGTGTTACTTGTTACTAGATGCTTTGTCCCTTGTCATTGGATGCTGTGTTACTTGTAACTGAATGTTGTGTCCCTTGTCAATGGATGTCGTGTTAGTTGTAACTAGATGTTGTGTTAGTTGTTACTAGATGCTCTGTCCCTTGTCACTAGATGCTATGTTACTTGTCACTAGATGCTCTGTCCCTTGTCAATGGATGTTGTGTTAGTTGTAACTAGATGCTGTGTTAGTTGTTACTAGATGCTTTGCCCTTATCACTGGATGCTGTGTTACTTGTCACTAGATGCTTTGTCCCTTGTCACTGGATGCTGTGTTGCTAGTGATGCCTTTTGATTATGTGCTTTTTCTTTTCAGATGAACTGTTTCCATATGATGTTGTGTGCTGTAAAGCTAGAATTGTTTGCCAATTAGAACAAAATTGACAGTGAAGTGAAATGGGCTAAAGTTTATGTGTAGAATGATACATGAGTATAGTTGTTCGATTGTATTATATTGTTTGTCATTGTTCGCAATAACAATTGCATGGTGCTTACATATTCAATTTTCTTGACAATGATTCATGTGGAGCTTATGTTCTCTCTTGGCTACAAGAGTGGGATGGCACTGTTCGTGATGATGCAGGATATACAATGCCACGATACTCTAATAATGAACCACAAGAGTTAAAGGTTAGCTGTTTGTGGTGGTTGGTTACCCATCCAAATAATGAACATGGGGATGAAGTGATGTTGATGCTATCGGACTACAAGAAGAGCAAGAAGAGAAGATAGAGTAGTCAATTAATTTTTTATTCTGTTGTGCCATGATATGTGTTTTAAGATGATTGGTAACTAAGGGAAGGCAATGAGTAGTAACAACTTAATGGTCAACAGGTCATTTTGTAACAAACTGATCAAATTATATTTATAATATTATTACCTTTGTCATCACATGTTATAATACCAATTTCTTAGGGTTTTATTCTATTTTTAATAATATATGTTTTATATTTTTATTGATATCACCAAATTTATGTAATATTAATATTATAGGGATTATGTTACCAATATTGCTCTGTGCAAGGAAATTAACAAATGGGAGTGTATATATCAACAGCACCCAGTGTAGATATTAACAACCTGAGTTATTCAAAGTAACAAGTAATATAATAGGAGTTAATGACAAGTGGTATAAGAATTTTATAACAAATGAATGTGTGGATATTAACAATTAATAATCAAAATTTTTACAACTAAAGGTGTCGTTTATTTATAATGTTAAGTAATATTTACATTAAAATATAATTATTAAGAAGACGGTGTTACTCAAATTTATGTTAAATTGATAAGGGACAGTACCTTCATTAACAAGTCACAGTGCTCTATTGACAAGTCATGGTGCCACCATTGACAAGTTAGTATGCCACTATTGACAAGTCACAGTGCCACCGTTGACAAGTCATGGTGCCACTATTGACAAGTTAGTATGCCACCGTTAACAATTCATAGTGCCACCATTGACACTTCATTAATAATGATTATATATCACAATATAACCAAAATATAATATGACAGAGTGATTGAAAATATCATATGATACTTAAATAGGTTATGTAACTTGAATTCATATTGTTGACAATTTACATCAGCAAATTAATTGACAAGTCACAGTAGTCCATTGACAACTGAAATGATAGCAGAATCTAACATGTCAATTCATAACCAACTTTAATTTACACTTTCATATACATGAAACTACACCTATTTCACAACCCTTCCCAAAAAAAAAGGGGTTGCATGTAATTACGAAACTAACTATTGGTGTGTATCTATTTACAAAAAATTCCCTTCACACCCATTTACAAAATATTCCCTTCACATCTATATACAAAAAATAGCAAACTTCAATAGGTTCTCAGTTGAGATTAGAGTCGGTAATATGGGTTGGACTCGTGAGTTGAACCCGCCAACCCGCCAAAAAGACAGGTTAGGGTTAGCCCTTGGCCAACCCACCACCACTTAAAAAATTTGAGCTCGCACCGCTGAAGCCTAAACCTGTGGCGGGTTGGCCAGTTCAACCCGCCTAATTTTTTTTTATTTCAAAATATTGCAATATGGGAGTATGACCATGGATATGGACTAGTGGACCGTGGAAAGCATTAAACTATTAAAGATTTGAAGCCCTACTCTCACAGTCTCACTCTCGACTCTCGTCGCCTCTCAGCCTCTCAGTCCTTAGATTGACAGATTCTCAAAACCAAAGTCCCAAGACTCCCAGCTCGGCAGCTCCCAAGTCTTGATTTCAGCAGTCAACGCCATTGCTGCCATTCCCCTCTCACTCAGTCACTCCCTCAGACTTAGAGCCCAGACTGTTAGACACTCAAAATCAAGATTCAAGAGTGAAGCTGTGAAGACCTCACTAAGTCACCTCACAGAGTCATAATGCTAGCTAGTCCTTGGCTCCTCGCATAATCGCCAGTCGCCAGTCACCTCCTCAATCCTCACTCGCCTCATGGAGTCATGGCCGCTAGCCACTACCTATCCTCAGTTCTCAATCACCTCCTTGGCTCCTTACACCGGCAATCAACCCTTGCTTCTCCATTTCTGCCTTTCTGGTTTGGCACTTTGGTAGCTCGATTCTCTTATCCGGTTATCCCATTGATCAATTGTCACTCACGATTCATCTTCTTGGCCGACTTTTTTTTTTTAAGTGTGAGCTAATGAGCTAATAGAGCTATAGTTGTGTTGCTTCAATGCTAGCATTTACTTTTGATATGAGATTCTGAGTAATTGTTGAGTAATTGTGATTTTGCTGGTTTGTGAATTTGTTGCATTGTTGAACTTGTGTTTTTACAGTTGAATATAATTATGTTTGTTTGCAGTAGAAGTTATAAGATGTCTTCTGGTGTGAATGATAAAGATAAGCATCAAAATGTTAAAACTACTGAAACAAATGTCAATGAAGGAGAAAAAGAGAAAATGCCTGATCCAGAACCTCAATGTTTTGTGCAAGATAATGCAACCAGAAGTAAGAGGGCTAAAAAAAAAGTTGCACATCTTAAGTTTGGAAGTATTTTAATGAATTTGTAGAAGATGGAAAAGAAAAGGCTACATGTAATGGTTGTAATAAAATGTATTTGGTCAATGGTAAGGATTATGGCACTTCTACACTTTGGCGTCATGTGGCTTCATGTATATCACTCCCAAGGTATAAGGATGTTGGCACCATGATGTTAGATCAAGCTAGAAAGGTGAGAAGTAGACAGATTGATAATAAGGTGTATCGGGAAATACTTGCTAGGGCTATTGTTGTGCATGATCTTCCCTATTCATTTGTTGAGTATGAAGTAATTAGGGAATTACATCAATATTTGAATCCTGATTGTAGGCCTCTTACTAGAAAGACTGTTGTGGTCGATGTTTGGAATCTTTATTTGACGGAAAAGGAAATTCTGAAGGCAAAAAAAAAAAAAAGATAGTAAATAGTCATAGTAGAGTGTGTTTAACTACTGATTGTTGGACTGCAATAATGAATCCTGATTGTAGGAATATTACTAGAAAGACTACCGTGGTCAATGTTTGGAATCTTTATTTGAAGGAAAAGGAAATTCAGAAGGAAAAAAAAAGATAGTAAATAGTCCTAGTAGAGTGTGTTTAACTACTGATTGTTGGACAGCAGTAACATCTAAAGGATATATTTGCTTGACTGCTCATTTTGTTGATGAGAAATGGAATCTTAATAGCAAGATCCTTGCTTTCACACACTTGGAGCCTCCACACACTGGGACTGAATTAGATAAGAAGGTGAATGAATTATTGGTAGAATAGGGGATTAAGAATAAAGTGTTTTCTATTACTGTGGACAATGCTTCAACAAATGATGTTATGCAAAAAAAAAAAATTAAAAGAGAGGTTGAATTTGAATAGTGCCTTGAAATGCAATGGAGAGTTTTTTTTCATGTTAGATGTTGTGCTTACATCTTGAATCTCATAGTTCAGGAGGGCTTGAAGGTAGCAAGTGAAGCTGTGCACAAAATTAGAGAAAGCGTTAGATATGTAAAGGCATCAGAGGCTAGAATAATCAATTTTAAGAGATGTATTGAACATTTGGGGGTGTGATTTTGAAGTTAGATGTTGCAGCTAGATGGAATCCCACATTTGAAATGATTCAAAGTACGATTAAATATCGTCATGCATTTGCTAACTTAGCTTTCAATGACACCCATTATCATCATTGTCTAACAAGTGAAGAGTGGTCTAAAACTGAGGAGATGTGCAAATTCTTGAGCCCATTCGCAACAATAACGAGGTTAATTTCTGGGTCATCATATCTAACTTCTAACATGTATTTTGTGCAAATCTCAAAAATTGAGTCACTGTTAAGAGAACATGTTTTTAATGATGACCTGTTATTAAAGATATGGCTATAAGGATGGTTGACAAGTTTGACAAGTATTGGAATGAATACAATTATAGTGTTATACTTGCACTTGCAATTATTCTTGATCCCCGAATGAAGTTTGACGTCATAAAGTTTACTTATGCACAACTTGATCCCATAAATTATAATGACAAGATTCAAAGCATTAGGACAAAGTTATACAATATTTTCAATGAATATAAAAGTATGGGATCATCATCTTCAACTTCTACTGGAGGTGGAGGTGAATCAAGTTATAGTAATGTCAATGTCTCAGGACCAACAGCATCTTCTAGCCAATCTACTCATGTTGCAGTACTTGCAAATGATAATGATCATTCTTCCTTGTTTTTGGTGTAAGTTTTAAATTTTTGCATTCTTTCAATGTCTTATACATATGTCATTTTGATTAACATTTTATTGATGCTTTATTTATATTATGCAGGACTATCTTAATTGCTAGATCAATGATTGTGCAACAATGGAAAAATCTGAGCTTGATTTCTATTTAGAAGAAGCAACACTTAATCCTCGAGTGTTTCATAAGTTGAATGAATTAGAGTATTAGAAAACTAACTCAACTCGACTCCTTGTCTTTCAAGGATGGCATGTGATATTCTTAGCATACCAATTACTACGGTGGCTAGTGAATCAGCTTTCAGTATTGGTTCATGAGTTCTCACAAAGTATCGAAGTTGCCTTCTCCAAGAAAATGTTCAAGCTCTTATCTGTACCCGTAATTGGATTATGGGTTTTCCATCTGGTAATATAATTATATTTATTCATTTATCTGATAGGAATAGTTTGCATTATTTTAATTATTATCATATATTTCTTTCACATTTTTCAATTATTTGTGGCAAATGAACATAAGCAAAAGGAAAATGTTGCTGCTGCTACTGTCAACATCAATATTGAACCAGCTTTAAACAATGCTTCAACTTTAAATGTCATCACCATTAGAAACAATTAGATCAAGATTGTCATTTATTGTTGCATGTTGATTTTATTGGAAAAAATTATGTTTAAAATTGTGTTTTATCATGTTTGGATTTGGATTTGGACAACCATATATTTTGCTTGTGTTTTGATATGTTGTAATTTTGTTTGAATGTTTATAATTGGAATACTTTCAATTATTTCTGTTGTTTGTTTAATTTTTTATTATTTATAACTAAGTGCTAACTGCTAACATATGAAAAAAAAGGAGGATACTCGAAAAAGTGCAGCAACATAATAATTTTGTAGAATCGAGTTTCTTCTAAATTCGATAAAGCTAGGCCTGAGCATTTGGTTGAGAAGAATTCAGGTAACAGGTCTAAAAAGATTTTTGTTCTGTGTTTAGTTTTTTTTTGGTTGATAATATAGATATATTTTGAGTCTTTGAGATGATGAATTGACTGACCAAGTACTTTAAAATAGACAGAATAATAGAATATGATGCACATCTGTTATGAAGATTTATGAATAAAATTGTATATTCCTTCTCCAAGTATAGAATTCATTGAGATTTGATAAAATATATTTCATATCTTGTGTATCAAAATTTTAGGAGTCTTTTATTTATTAATGCCATTTTTGAACTAAGGTTTGAAATTTGAGAAGGTTCTTAGGATTCAAATATTGAAATTCAGTGACTTTAATACAATCTAATGTCTGATTAGGGAGAGCTAATTTCTTCAAGGAACTTATGTTTCAACTTCTTGTGCTTAGGTACATTCATGGTAGACATAATTCAAGGCAGAGGGCTTGAGATAATTTTGGTCTTCTTGTGTATATTCTGATGTGGGTTTTTCTGCATATGGATACTTTTTTTTGGGAAACCAAAAAAAAATAAAAATTCTGACGGGTTAGTGGGTTAGGGTTGGCAGAATACTAACCCACCAGGAAACGGGCTTTTTGAACCTACACTGAGCAACCCATGACCTGCCACAGGCCAACCCGCAACTTGTGGGTTAGCCCATTTTACCAACCCTAGCTGAGATTTGGGTTCTTGCATGTCTTGACAGTGTGTCTAGGCTCTTTGCATCTTCCATAATGATAAACCTTCTTATTTTGGAACTGAGATTCTATCCTAGTAGTTCTTGGCCTTCCTGAAGGCCTTCTAGTTATGGGTGGATGCAAGATTGTTTAGGTCAACATATGAGTCACAGTAGATGCATCCGACTGTGGACAATCATGCGTTGCAATTAGTCTCATGCTATTTGCATATATTTTCTCCTATGTGGACAATTTATAACAGTCATCTATATAATCATACACGCTATGGTGAACTAGTTTGATTATCGCACACGCATATGGACATGGTATTCTACTCATTTGCCATGCCAAACATGTGCATCTGTGAGAAATAAGATCAATAGTCACATATATGATGTGTCCCTCAATCATTGTCTGCACCAAAATATGGTTATCACCATAATATATTGCCTCCATATACGCATCTCTTGCTATTTGTTCTGACAACTTTGATTCGATATTAGGCCCTACACCATTTTTCTAGCTTCTCATCCCTATTTTGCTAGCAACCATCTTCTTGGCCAGCTTCTCTTGATGCTCTTATATCAAAACCGGCAAGACATGCTTCCTTTCTTTCAACATACACGTATTAAAAGACTCAACAAGATTATTGGTGATGTTATTCCATCTCTTAAAAGAAAATTTACTTTGTGCCTATCTATCCACATCCCCATGAGATTCAACCCATTATGCCAATTATGGACAAAACAATCTTAAATTTCTCATTGCAACATTAAACTCAATATCATGCCTTGCATATGCAATTCCATCAAGTAAATTAAATGCATTCTCCTTGTTATTTTCTGAAGTTCGTCTCACACCTCTATTGATTTTCACATACTATGCACTATAATTTTCTTTCATATGTTGATAGCAAAAAGCATGTCTCTCACCATGAAATACTGCCCTGATAGCACCGATGATAGCATTACTCCGATTTGACACAATTGTCACTTGTGCTGATCTAGTTATCTCCTTCAGATTCTATAGAAACCAAGCCCATTCATCATTTGTTTCTCTGCTAACAATACCATATGCTAAGGGAAACAACTTTATTTGCATCAAATGTACAAGCTGATAATAAAGTTCCTTTGTAAGGACCACTCAAATGACATCCATCTATATAAATGATTGGTTTGCAACCTTGCACAAAGCCTTTAATTGAGTATCCATATGTAATGAATAACCTTTCAAATCAGTTGCTATCTAAGCCTTCCCATCTTGCAACTATATCAGGATCAGCTTCCATTAGTCTCTCACATATCCAAGGGATTACCTTATAAGAATCTTCTACTCAACTGTGTAATTCCATTAGTGCTCTCTTCCTAACCCTATATGCTTGAGTATAGTTCAACTACACTCCATATTCTTCATACAAGTCCTTTCTAATTTTATTAGGACTCTTGTCAATATTGCACCTCAAGTCATCAATCACAATTGAAGTAGCTAAATTTGACCTTCCTAAGTGATAAACAATTAAGCTATGTTGTGCATGATAAATGTGTTCACTTTTGTATGTTCTAATAGTTAAAAACTCAGTATCTTGATGTGCGCCCATTGAATATGCACCCATATACCATGGACAACCATCAACCTTACACTTCACAATGATCTTTTGCTGATTATTCTTAATAAAAAGGTATGAAAACTTTTGGGATAAGCTGTACTTGTATAATGTTTTGCAAAAGATAATGGCATTTGGAAATATTTGTCCTTTTCCAATAATCAAATCCTTCTATTTTATGGAATTCATTTGTGGTATAGGTGTTGGGATCATTTCAACAGTACAAGAAATTGATGGAGACTCTCCAATCTCATCAAATAAGGTAGGTGGAAACATAGACAGTCCATTGACACCTCCAAATGATTGATCAATCCTGTAGGAATTGACAAGTCAAGGTGCATGCATTGACAAGTTAGTAGCAAGGCAGTAACAACTGACATACCAAGAAATGACAATAATAGTTTTATTAAACTAAACTTACACATCTTACTCCTCCATTGCATTATCCCTTGTTGCTCCTATGTGGTCTTTATTTCCATTCTCTTCTACATATACATGACCACTTTCTTCATTGAACTTTATCAAATGTTCTACCTCATTATCATCTACCAATTCCGCAAACACAAATGAGAATTTTAAAAGAAATGAGTTACTTTCTTTTCTAGCAATTGATAATATAATTTCCTTCAATTCTTCATAACTTGTGCCCTCCTTTATATTTGTTGTTCTTACACTACCTCTCACATATCTCATATCATCTTCTCCATCATTTATAAACTTTCCCCCTATGTGAACAAAGCAAAATAGATACTTTCTAGACGTACTCACCATCAGTAATATAAACCTGCATCAAGAATCATGCAACTGTCATTGACAAGTCAAGCAGCTACATTGACAACTATCGCTGTATGATTGACAACACAATATCCCATTTCATGCTAAAGGTTTCTACCCACATTGGCCTTCATCTTTTTCTTCCTTTGCCACTAAACTAATATCAAAACAGAGCAAAACCACCACAAGCAACCCAAAAACAGAGCACCCATGATCATCCTACACACCCAACTTAAATAATCAACACACACTAACCAAAAACACAGCTTTTCTATTGATTAATTTGTCAATCCTAGACCAAAAACAAAAACTTTACGGTACCAAAGGCAAAAATGATTTTTTGATTTCCCATTCCCAACCAAATGCACAATCTTTTAAGAAAAGTAGGAGAGGAGGGAAAAGAAAATTCCAGACCTGAAGATTTGTAGAGATTCACATGGAAGTTCTTTGGAGTTTACTAATGTTAATGGAGAAGATACTTTATCATCAATGGCTCTTTCCTTCTTTCTTAACGTCTTCTCTCTTAACCATACTAGGCGGGAAACTCCTCACCCAACTCACTGTCTTTGTTTCTGATAGCTAGGGCAAGAGATTCATTTCAACATTCTGAAAATTACATCTATATTCATATAACTTAACTAATCTTGGGACCTTAATGTCATTTTCCCTAATAAATTTCCCCTCCCAATATAAAAATTCAATTCAATCCCTCTAACTTAAAGTGAAATTAAATGAATGACTCAAATGACCATTTAGCCCTTAAAATAGATAGGGTACAACTCCACATATAAAAATTTGCAACAATAGTTTTTTTTAAAAAAAAATCTATATTTAAAAAATTACAAGAAAAAAATAGAAAATGTGCAGTTTTTTATGTAAAAATTTACAATAAAGAATAGACGAACAACAACTATACATATGGTCATTTTCAACACCCAGTAGAAAATAACAATACATATAGAAATTTAGAAAAAAATTAATCTTTTGATCTTTTAAGTGTTAATTTGATTAAGACTTAATTCTTTAATTATTACTTGTTAGAATTGTACTTTCAACTCGGTTAAAATTTAGCCTCTTAGTTTTTTTTTCATTTAATAAATCAATCCTAATCATCACCCAACCATCCTATGTGGCAAGTGACATTATCAAAGTTGTTGATGTGGCTTCAAATAACCTCCACGCTTCATATCTCTATT